TTTACCTCCCTGATGATCCCACGTCACTTTTCTTCAAATGATTTTAGCGCTTCGGTTTCATGCGGTGACAGTTCGTTGGAGCAAAGCAAATTACTTTCAACCCTTTGAACATTCCCCGAAGTTGTCTGGCAGCGATTTTTAACTATTTTTACTAAATCAAGAGAAGCACTAGAAAGCACCGCGTACCAATTTCTTAAATTGCTCTTGGAGAGGTTTGTCAAACTAAATGGATTTTTTTTTTGTAAACTTCTGAGAGCAATGCGCGCGTCGAGGCAGGTCTGAATGTATGCGGCATGTGACTCGTGGCGTATCCTTTTGTCCGCTAACTTCCTAATTTCATAAAAAAACATGTGGTAAAAAGTTAACAGGTATCTCAATCAAAACAGACGGAGATTGTGATGTGCTAGGGTGAGACCGTCAATCCTGTGACAAGCAGAAAGCCGCGCTGTAAGGCTTGCGCAGATTGTAGCCCGCTTGAGGGGCAGGCTCGGCGATCTGGCTCCTCTGTCCGGCAGGGCGTCCGCCGGCGTCGTCTTCTAAGCAATTGGCGCCTGCTGTTTTGTGGCTGCCTCTCGGTTTTCTTTCAGTCAAACTTTGCAGTGTTGTAGAAATTTTTTTTTTCCTGGCCAGGTTTACGCCGGCGATTACCATTCTGGCTAGGCCCCAAATCAGCGGCTTTTGTGGCGTTAACTGTGTCGAGTTTATCGTGGGGCTCTTGAAGGAGCCAGGTGTTTTGAATTAACACATTCCCTTGACGTCATGGGCCACTTGATGTAGCCAAGGTGTGTAAATATTTGCTAAAATGTAACTCGTCTTCAAAAAGGTCTGTCACTCCGAAACGCTGACGCACTTTACGAATAAAGTGCGTCAACGTTTCAAGAATGTCGTCGCAAGCGCGTTTTATTTCCAAAGCCAGAATAAACAGCGGAGACAGGATCCTGACACCGCCATTTGTTTATTTATATATATATATATATATATATAGATATCTAGATAAGCGGATTGGGCCAAAAGCGGAGATTTAACCCGCAGCCTTCCCCTATCCGGGTCGACGGCTTAGTGATTAGACTATACCGGCCACTGGTTTCGGCGGACTCATTGTTTCACCAGCTCTCTGTGCACTTTTAGCTTTGAATCCGCTCAGCTGCGTAGACGACAGCCGCTGCTGATTTAACGCCCATGATAGTTCCGAGTTGCGGCACTGACGTGGCACGTCATTTCAGCTTGAAAATGCCGGAAAGGTCCCATCTTCCAAGATACCTTGGGAACCAGTCCTCAACATATGGGCAGGCTGCACCGTATATGAAATGGAAATGAGTGAACATTGACAAGTGCAGCCGTAGTAATATTGCGAACGAAGAGGAGAGGCAATGATTTTTATTGCATTGAGGATCGGGAAAGGGAAAGAGAGATAGCAAACAATTGGCGTGATGCATAAAATTCCATAGGGCTGCGGCAAGGTTTAGATAGGCCAGACCGGAAGGTGTTTGAACGAACGGTTGCGTGGACATGATTTATCACTGCGTTCAACAATGAAAGCACATTTAAATATTCATTACATAGATTGTCGTTGCTTTCCCAACTTTCAAGGCACTACAATCGTTGGGAGGGGTAAAGAAAAGTTGGGGAGAGAGGTACCGGAAGCCTAGATGATAAAGAAGGAATGTCCTAATAAGTGTATTAGTCAGCAGTAGATTTTCTTGACAGGTGTAGTGGCCGAGTCATTGCTGACTATTCATATTTGTGCAATATTTGTGGCTTTTGCTGTTTCTATTTTCCCGTTTTCATTTTACAATGAAAATGACCGCATCTCTACGTGGTGAATGATGTTGATTGGGGCGAAGCTCCTGGTGGTGCTGATGATACTGATTTCATTTTTCTTAGGTAGTGCTGATTATTTTTATTGCTCGTAGGTAGTGCTGAGTTCCGGTTTGTGTTTCGACCTCATTATTACTACTTAATGGTCGGTGAAATGCAAAGCCAGCGGTTCTTCTAGTGAAACATCTTGGATTCGCTAGAAGTCGTGGGAACGCACCTCAACGGTCCATATCAAAAAGGGTATGGAACGTGGTTATATACGCATTTGAGCATTTGACCGTAGCGCCCTCTCGTCCATAAACGTTGAGCCAATGCATGCAAAGTTTAACGCGATTATAAACGCATTTGACCGCAGCGCCCTCTCCTGTATAGACGTTGAGCGGCTACATGCAACGTTTCAACCATGAAAGAAACCCCAGGTCTTGAGTTACTACCGATTCTCGGAGCCCCCTACTTGTCCCGCAGTCGTGGCCGAGTGGTTAAGCCGATGGACTAGAAATCCATTGGGGTCTCCCCGCACAGGTTCGAATCCTGTCGACTGCGCGAACATTTTTTTTCTTTATTACGTGAGCACGGACGCCGGCCGGACGGACGAACGGACGGACGGACGGACAAGGCTAGACCCTTAGGAGCTTTGCCCCTATAATTCAGCTGATAGTCAGCGCTCGTCCTGTTTGCCTCTCCGTCTTCGTATTCGTTTCTTTTTTCTTTTTTTTTTTTTCTGCGCTTTTACGACTTTTCAATGTTGTAACAAAAAAAAACGCAGCACGTTTTGAACTGCACTTGGCGCTCCTTGTAGGTAATTAACCTAAACTGTTTTTTTTTTTCTGTGTGTGTGTGTGTGTGTGTTTTCTTTGCGAGTTTTAATATATATTGCTGTTTTTCCCCCCGATATAAAGCCCGCTGAGAGCGATATAAAGGTACAATAAATAAAACGAAATGAGGGCACAGATCTGGACAACAAATGTTGTGGCATGAAACGTCTTTATTAAAGTAATGGTTTGCGATTCCGCCGGCTTCGAGTCTTGCTCAGTAAGGGGAGGAGAGGGGGTTCAAGGAAGCAGTGTTGTGCAGTGAGCACTCCCATTCCATTCCAACTTTATTCCGGAATATTAGTTTCCGCTACTTCAAATACTTTCAGCACCTGGGAACAGATACGCTGGGCATATTCCCACTCCTGGAATGGCTGAACTGCTTCATTCTGTTCCACTAACTTTGTTTATGTATCACGTGGTGAATTCACAGCGATATGTTGGCGGAATAGCTGTAGCGTCCGCTACGGCCCATCGTAAGGAGAAACGCAGATCAGGCACTTACGAACGAGACTCTTAAACCGGGGTCACAGTGATTATAGATCATATATAGATTCCAACGCAAGTCACCACGAGATCAGTACTTCGAACGCAGCATGGCGACGAGGTCAAGGAGAAATTAAACAAGTGGCATTCGAATTACAGATATGGCGGTGACCAATGTCTGCATTACTGTCTTTTGTATGTGTATAAACATGTAATTCCGGCTTTAAGGTAATAATCCGCTTGCGGCCCTATGTGCGACAGGAACATGAACGTGCTCGCCTCTGCGGCGTAAATACCTGCTTTCAAGAACGGCGGGCGGCTTGTCTTTGTCCCTGCCTTGTGGCTTATGACCCGTGCCTGTAATTGACCATGGTCGCAACAGTTGCTTTGTCGCCTCTCGGGCGCCTGGAACGACCTCTTCTCCGTCTACAACTGTTCAGGTTCAGTTGCATGATGGGGAGCGTCATTTTAATCCTCGAAGGGGCATGAGCAGTTTAAACAATTGAACCATCAGCAACCAGTTAAGTGCAGTGATGTTATTTTAGCAGCCATTCCGACCGAGCTCTAGCCTTATGTCAGCAAGTTCCTTGTGGTTTGAGTTGCTCCCTCTCTTAAATCTAGGTCTTCTGTAGGGGCCTCCAAATGTTTCGGCTCAGGGGTCACATTTGGAAGATGCTGGAATCTCGGGGGGAGGGGGGGGGGGGGGATCGAGAGAAGGGGGGAAGGGGATATAAATAAGTAACTAAAACAATTAAATAAATCTAAATAACTATTTAAATACCAACACATAAATTAGAAGAAAAAAAAAGATGATAACTCCGAGTACGTATATATACATAACTTTATATTCGATATGTTGTTAGTTATGACATTTCAAAATAATTGTGAAACAGAAAATCGCCAGGCAATGAAAACGCATAAGAACTTTTGCATATTCCCACAAGGTAAAGGGTGAAGGAAACTGGTAAATATGATAATAACAATACACAATAGAGGACAATAAGAACGATACACATAAGAACGCAAAGTAATTCTGACAAAGCTTCACAGACATGAATCAGGGGACGACAAAGAAGCATTGCTGGTGATCACAATGTACCATAAACGATATGGCGAACCCATTTTGATGCAGAATACACTAATTTTTTATATCCTCTCTTGCGTCTTTGGTGGGTGTCACGGCACTGTTTCTTTCATATCTTTTTTTACACTTGCGTATTTTTACGTTAATAGTAGTAGACAGCGGGCCGGGCGTCACTGTAAAGACTGCGGCCACCTGCAGGCGGGCAGACGTAACTCCTCCGCAAGATGGATTTGGGCCGCGGGTCGCGTTTGGAGACCCCTGACCCAACACCTCCTAGTGTAGGAAGGCCTCAGCGCTTACGAGTCGGGACGCAAAGATGGCGGAGACAAACCTATCTGTCTTTTAACGTTTTAAAACATTAGACACGAAGACTACCTTCCTGAAAACGACAGGATGAGATGTTTTTCAACACGATGTTTGTATTGGAGGGAGGCGCACAAAATTACATTTAAAAAGTTATCTAGCTAATCTACGTTAATTAGCCAGGTTGCACATTGTATAAAAATAACTAGACTTGGCCAATTGAACAACACTGGGCCTGTTTGAAACGAGTAGCGCGCACCGTGTTTTTTTGAAGTCTCGGCGCAAGTTAGCTGAAATACCCAGTGTGCCTTTTTGTTTCGTTTGCTCTCAGAACTAAATGAAATTGGTGGTTTCCCCAACTCATTATATTTCTTGAGATGCAAGACACGACACAGTGGAATATATTTTTTAATCTCAAGTTTGCATACATGTGGCTGCTCCCTCACCACCCGACGTGCAGTTGAGGATCACGAATGACAATTCTAGGAAAATGACTCCTATTGCCCTCTTAGTGTGGTATTACAGATAACCGGATTGTAAGCTCGAAACACAGGTTTTCCACAAGTTATCATGAAGGCGAGAGCGCAATCGGGAGAAATCCGTTTCCATACGACATGTTGAAACCATTCTTCAAAGTCCTCTCTTATGAATATCCATAGCCTTTGTTTTTGATCATCTCTCGGAGTACAGTTTTCAGGGATTCCAAGCCATTTCTTATTCTTCTTCATTAGTTCCTCTTCTGTTTTTATAATATCATCTTTCAGGTCATCCACTATACGTTTTAACTCGGTTTTTCTCAGCCACAAATCGCATCCTATGAAAACAAAGAGACAACAATTAATTGTGAAGATCCTACAGACAGTTTTGGGGGACTGGGAAAGAACTCAAAAGTGCGAAATCAAGTAACTCCAAACGAAAACGAAAGTCAGTGAAAGCACAGAGGAGCTGGTAAAAGTAAATAATGTAAAATAAAAATTTCAGCTGTCAGTCAACTCGTGTGCTGCGTACTACTCCGTCTACTTGGCTCTGTTTTTGGCGCGTTGTTTTTGCTTTCCCTAATCGCGTCGTAGCTCTAATTGTTACAAAGATGAACAAGCTTTAGATAAAGCGTTTTTTATGTTTTTAAACTCCAGAACCTTGTTGTTTCACCACACCACAAGAGAAAACATGAATATATTCTTGAATGGGCATCCATTTTCTTTTGAAGGTGAGAGGCAAGAATCGGCATTAAGTAATTTTATTTTATAATTAGAGCTCAGGTGACTCTTCTGAAACAGGGTTTCGTATTTCTATATGTATAGTTTTTCAAAACAGTATGTTTTAGTTTGTTTCTTTCGAAATTTGTTTGAATCGCGTCTAGACATAACCGAAGCCATATACTAGTAATACACACCCATACAGATACATACACTTCCCTGAAGAAACATACAAATAACAGAACACATAAAATCCCAACATTGGTGCTAGTAAATGTGGAAGGTTAGTACACTTTTAAAATCCATCTCATTCCCGAAAATGTCAACCACCGCACTCACTGCAGTATAATTGCTCTGAATTCGTAAAATGGGGGAAATGAACACATGTCTTGCATGTATAGAGCGTGTTGTCGAGACGGCAATTAACACGCGGGACATATATAAACAACAGTGAAACAGGTATAGGGCAACGTATTCTGCTACTCATAGTTTTATACAAAAATGCATAATCTCGCGTAATTCCGGCGCCAGTATTTGCAAGTTTAGCCGAAGTATCATTCAAGGCTCGTTCACAGACTTGTAACCGAGTACGACCAAGAGAGACGAGCCCGGTTTTTAAGCCTCTTGCGACGTCTTAGGACCGGATTCGTTGCTGCGGAGTTGGTGCTAAAGGCTCGTTCAAACGCTCGTAACCGAGTACTACCGAGAGAGACCAGATCGGTTTTTAAGCCTCTTGCGACGTCTTAGGAACGGATGCGCTGCTTTGGAGCTGGTCCTAAGACGTAGTAAGAGGCTTAAAAACCAGTCTTGTCTCTCTCGGTCGTGCTCGGTTATAAATGTGTGAACGGCGCTTAAAGGCACACTGACACCCCCCCCCCCCCCCCCCCCCCCCCAAAAAAAAAAAATTGTTTTTTCCTTTTTTGCCACGCGATTTATTATGGTATCGAAATAGTACCGAATTAATATTTTGCTACAGAGTCACTTATTTTTTTTTAATAAAGTCAAAAGAAAAAAAAAAAAAAACGCAACTGATCGAAACCGAAACCGAAACTCCCGCACTGCACAGAGAAGTGGAGAGGAAGGAGTGAGTGGCACAAGCCACGTGGCAACCAACCATGCGGGTTTTTTTTCACTTTTCTTCTTTTTCTTTTTGCACTTAGCAGACCAAATGCTTTGCGATGCAGGATCCATTAGCCGTGCGATTCCTTTGCAGTTATGTTTGTTTCGCTCGCTGTTATGTACTTCAAGATGCACATTTAAGTGTTGGCAATTAGTAGTGAGTGCACGAGTGCCGTGGTGAATTCCTGTGATCGGCTCCGAGAAGAATACTCCCAAGATGTTGCGTGAATGTCTGCCTCACATGTCCTGCATCTGAAAGTGGCATTGTGTTGCAGGGTGCACAAGTTTCCGAAAGATCAACGGGTCGGGATCTATGGCTGGCTGCAATTCCGGGAGAAGAGTTAAAGCGAAGCAAGGAAAGCGAAGCTCGGAAAGCGGACGCTACCCGATTCATATGCTCCTTGCATTTTGTGGAAAGTGACTACATTGCGTTCGCAGGTGTCAAAAATGAAATCCCATACCATTTAGTTCTGCGACGTATGGACCACAAGATTTTTTTTAGTGATAATTGTAAAAAACAAAATTGTAAACATGGCAAAATGCTTGACACAAAAAAAAAAATGGTGCTCCCACATTTGGGATTGAACCCGTGTCCTCTGCGTGTGATGCGGACGACTTTCCACTGAGCTACTGAAGGATTTGTTTTTCTCTTTATTGCCTGAGCAATTGAAGGATGTCTTTCATGCGTAATAATGCAGCCAGTCGACTGTATGTCGGAAGTTTGCTGCGGATTTCCTTTCAGTACATGCTCCCCGCTCAAAGTCGGGCAGCACCACGCATAGGCCACACACGCACATCGTAAAGAAACCATACGCGAGCGTATTCAACTTGAAGTACGCACTTCGTACTCGACGTTTGAGCGAGAGATTTCTTCAGCCAGGAGAAGGGACGACGGCTAGGCGACGCCATCGTGCAATCGGCTTGCTGGTCGGGCGTGTCGTGCGGGATGAGTATCAGTTCTTTTAACCGCTCTAAAATTTCTCTTTCGGAGGAAGACAGAATTCGCCGGTACCGTGAACGACGATTCTGAAGCAGGTGTCCAACGCCCGTCGTCCGCTGTCATCTGCTAGTCCCACGATACGCGAAATGACGCCATGGTGAGAATTGTGCAGTGAACCAAGTGATCGCACAGAATGCTCCGGTTGTCCATGCTACCTTTTTTTTCAATCAGCGTATTTGCAGCTTTTTGGAAGCCACCAAAAATGGGTTTCATATTTTTTTGCATTTCTAATATTGACTGTGCGCCTTCAATGACCCACGACTTTGATTAAATTTGGCGGTCGCGACGAGTCTTTAGAACACGGCCCGTGACCACGAAGAAGAGAGTGAGCGCGACTCAAACCGGCCAGTTCTCGATCGGCGGATTTTGGGCCGAAACAAAATTTCGAGCGGCAAATTTTTGTTTTGGGTATAGTTGGGCTCTCATATGTCACGTACAACTAAAAACCTCGGCGAGCATAAATACCCAGTCAGTGTCCCTTTAAGACGTCGTAAGAGGATTGAAACCCGGTTTTCTCTCTCTCCGTCCTACTCGGTCGCAAGTCTGTGAACGGCGCTAAAGAGTTCAGGAAAAAACGCCCCCCACCTCTTCACACTTAAGCTGAGTGATGGCAAGGAGGTGACCTCCTCTCCAGCGTTCGCTGAAGGGAAAAGAGTTGGGAGGAGCTTCTCCTGCAGACCATTCCAAACTAGAGTGCCAAACTATAGTTACGAACGCATAATAGAGGTGTAAAGCCTCACGATATATGAAAGCTCTTTAAAATGACGGGTCAAGGGTTGTCCAAACAGGATACGTCAGAAATAGTGAAGCACCACTTCTCCGCCATATGAAGTGAAGGTTGAAGTCCGGCCGTCCGTCTTTTGTTTGTACACCAACACATCTCTGTTACGTCACGCCGCGGTGGTGTTGCGTCGGGCGCACTTCCGGTCTGGGGCTGTGGGCGAAAGTTACCATGGGGGACGTGCATTCCTGTGTTACTTCGGAAGAAACCGGACAAAAGCCTGGCTCCTCGTCTAATTACCGCGACTGGGGCTGTACCAAAAAAGTCGGGAAATGTTTGAAGGTCAGTTTTCGTGCGTTTCCTGCCTGCTTGGTTCGTCCGAGAACGTGAAGGGGGGCCGCGAAAAAGGAAACACAGACGCCGTCGGACCACGATTGCTTGGGCGGGAAGCACTTGGGATTGAATTCAAGGATACTTCTGGTAGTCAGATTTATTCATTTTGTTCCAACATGAATGCTGGAGAACCGCCTTCTTGCACGGACCACCTGCGGACTACGTTCAGTGCGTCTTTGATTTCGTACGGCCGCCTCATCGTTCGAGTTGTCGCCTGCTCCCTCAAACGTTTCTGCTTGTCGTCTGCTCGTTCAAACGACAGCGGCCCGTAAACCAAACGTTGGCCCGGTAATTGCAATAAGAAGTGCAGACCTCACGATATGTTTAAGTTTGAAGGTTCACTCAGGTAAGCTGGCTCGGTGTAAACAGTAGATATAAGGAGATGTTGACAATTGTTACCAGTGGCCATCACCGACTTGTTGTGCCTGATTCTCTCGGTCTGATCCTGCTTGCGATTTTCAGTATCGACGTTGACATCTCAGCTACGGTTCAAGCTTTTGCAGCCCGAGCGACGCCATGACTGAAAATGGTGAGCGCAACTCACCATGTTAATCAGGTTTTAGCGTCCATTCTGCGGCGTCCACGCGGAATGGATCGTTGCATGTTACGCCAAGTTTTGCGGCGTAACGAGCCTGGTTAATTTCGCTGAGGCCGCCCAAGTTGTTAGACATTGCCAGGAAGACGCAGAATCAACAATTTCAACGCGAAAAAGAGCACGGCGACTCACACCAATGCCGGCAACATCACATTCCAATCGTTTGTTTATAGGTGACGGCGAGCTTCCTGCCCACACCCCCATCGCGCATGCGCGGCGTCGGTGGCGTCCGGTAGGGGCGCTCCGGGTTGTTTGTAAACATGAGTTGCTTTGTACATACACCAGGCAAACATCACGGCTTTCCTCCTCGCCTCATCCACTTTCCTGTGACGTCGGCGCCTGTCCATCTGTGTTTGCCTCGCCCTCGTAAGCTACCCTTTCCTGTTTTCGGGATAAGGCTTAACAGCAGCGGAAGCCTTGAGCGATTGACTAACAGTCAACAGAGCGTCTGAGAGACTGTCCGAACCCACATGATGAGCATGCATTATGCCTCCGTCAAGGGGAGAAGCAGACAGTAGCAAAAAACAAACTTTCCTCTCGGCAAAAAAAAAACAAAAAAAAAACAGCAACAACAAAAAAACAGACGGATGCAGATTGACGCATTTCATATGGCGGAGAAGTGTCGTTTCGTGCGTCCTGGAAGTGTCCTGTTTGGACAGCGCACGCGAAAAAAACCGCGAAAGTCGCAAGCAAGAACTAACTAAATTTAACACATGATTAATAAAGTGATTATTCAATATAAATCCGGAAGTCAGGTAAATATTCCCGTCACAGTGGTTCATTGCCTAGT